TTAAAATAGTGTTTGCTATCATCCACGTTGTTCCATATCTGCGAGGGGGAGAGGGCTTGGAAGCTATCTGGATATGTGGGCCCTCCTGTATCATGGATTACAGCGCCCAGAATCCCCTGTGCCGGAGGGGGGATTCTGGGAAAGGGTTCCCCCAAGGCTGCTTTTCCCTTCGCCAGCCACGTTGAGTCCCACCCTGAGACGACAACGACTCTCTCCTCTTTCAGGGCCGTCTACTTGGTGCGCCACAAGGAGACCCGCCAGCGCTTCGCCATCAAGAAGATCAACAAGCAGAACCTGGTGCTCCGGAACCAGATCCAGCAGGTCTTTGTCGAGCGGGACATCCTCACCTTCGCCGAAAACCCCTTCGTGGTGGGCATGTTCTGCTCGTTCGAGACCCGGCGCCACCTCTGCCTGGTGATGGAATACGTGGAAGGTGAGAGATCACGTGGGCTGCGGCCACGGAGCCAGAGGAGGGGCTGGACCGGATGATCGCCAGGGTCCCTTCCCGCTCGGCCCTTCCAAGAGGATGATGAGGATTAAAAGGTTGGCTCGAGGCCTATGCTGGGGGTGGGACCCTGGCTCTTCTCCCCCCAGAGCGTCCCTCCCGTCCACCGCGCTTCCAAGGCTGGAAGACGCTCAGAAGCTGGAGCCGCCCCCGTGTGGAGGAGGAGGCCAAGGGTGGGAAGAAGCCCGAGAGCCCACCCTCTTGTCGGTCCCTCGCTCTCTTGGCAGGTGGGGACTGCGCCACGCTCCTGAAGAACATGGGCCCCTTGCCGGTGGACATGGCCCGGATGTACTTTGCAGAGACGGTGCTGGCCCTGGAGTACCTCCACAATTATGGCATCGTCCACAGGGACCTCAAGCCAGACAAGTAAGGAGGCAGGAATGGGATTTGGATCAGCACCTATTGGCCTGCGTCTGGAATCTCATCAATGCCTTGGCCCTTTTATTTCCATGTGTGAGCTTTTTCTCCCAATACTTGCTCAGTAAACCCCCCATATCTGCTGTTTTGCTTATTCGCAGCTTGAAAATATTAGGGGGTGGGGGAGAAAAAGTATTTGTAGGAGGTATTTACCAGGACTGGCCACCAGAGGGAGGCCTAGAGACATCACCATGTACATAGTGTCCTCTCTGGCTCCTTCTAG